CAAACTCGAATCTGTGCAAACATACCATTCACGGTTGACTCAAACTTTCTCCGATCTCGGATTCAGTGTATATAACAAAGCACATACCCAGATGTTATCCGCTGTCTTTGTTGCTGGCCTTAAGGAAGCCATCAGGAAAGGCTTAGTGCTTTCTCGTCCAGAATACAGAATTATTCCTTTGGACAATCTCTTACTAGTTGCCAAATGCCTAGAAACTGCTCTACAGCCACCCCAAAGGAAAAGTAATCCTCTCATGTTTTCTGCTTATAGCCCTGCCACCAGACCCGCCCAGGTCCCCCCAGGATATGCTGTGCTATCTACCCTGCCAGCTGCACAGGGGCAGCACATGACACCCGCCCCTAGGCCTCAGACCAGGGCATGCTTTAATTGTAACCAACCCGGCCATTTCCGGAGAGATTGCCCACACCCCAGGGTGCCTAGACAGCTGACCACTAGACCACCTATGTACCCCAATGCCCCTGCGGCCACGTATGGTGGTCTCCAACCTGGTTACCCTCCACAGGTATATCCTCAGGCACTTACTTCGTCTTACCCTCCTCAGGAATATGCTCAAGCTGTCTACCAGCCCTCTCCATCTAATACTCACCCCACACCCCGCAGCTATGCTCACCCTTCCCCTGATAGTTACGATATAGATGATTTCCAACAAGATGAACCCCCCTGCACCCATTATCGCCCTACACGTCCAACCCATCAGGCCAGCCACTGCACCACACCCGCACGTCACTACACTGGCCCTGATCAATCTCATCTAGACCTTGTACAATAGGTAACCGGCAAACCTGTGTCTAACACCACTGTCATGGCAGTGTCTACAGGGGACAAGGGGGGGCCTCTCGCTACAGTTGTCCTACCAGTTGAGACAGGTGCAGCCCGCAGTGTGCTCAGAGAACAAGACCTGCCTGACCCATCTTACCTATCCGACACAGATGTTTCTTGTGTAGGTGTCGATGGAACCCCCTGAAACAACCCATTAACTAAGCTCTTGCGGGTTGGTTCTGACATTCTCTCTCGGTTTGTTGTCTCATCCACCTGTCCAATTAACCTTTTAGGAGCAGATGTTCTGTCTCGTCTTCAAGCTTCTATCTCCTTTACTGCTGATGGCCAGGTTCAATTACTAACCCCCCTTTCTCGCAAAGATACTTCCGTCCTTTGCTCTCTGCTCCTACTGCTACATATGACATTCCCCACCGAGAAGGTAAGGGTCCCAGAAGCCCCCAGTGCCCTGGATAGGGTTCCAACTAAACTTTGGTCCACGGGCCCAGATTACATTTGACGCCTACGAGCCCCACCTGTGGAAGTTACACTAATTAAGGGAGCTAATCCACCACAAAGACCACAGTACCCATTGAAACCTGCACAAGATCTCGCCATCTCCAAACAAGTTAATAGCCTGTTGGCAAAAGGTGCACTGGTCAAGTGTGTAACACCTCTCTATTTCTAGTAAAGAAGAAAACTGACAAAGGTCAACCAGACTAATACCATATGGTCCAAGACTTCCGCGCTGTTAATGAAGTCACAAACCGCGATACTGCCGTTGTCCCTAATCCACATACACTGTTGTCACAGGTCCCTCCAACAGCTAAATTCTTCATGGTAGTTGATCTTGCAAACGCTTTTTTCAGTGTGCCCTTGGATCCCTCTTGTCAATATCTGTATGCTTTCACACACGATCGTCAACAGTATACTTGGACTGTCATGCCTCAAGGTGCACAAAATTCCCCAACCCAATTCGCCAAAGCTATGTCAGCTGTACTAGAACCCTGGCAGAAGTCCCACCCAGACATGGTCCTGCTCCAGTATGTAGATGATTTACTTCTCTGTGCGGATGATTTTCCAACTGTTGAACAGAATTCTGAAGATCTCCTTTTGTTTCCTCGCTGAAGAAGGTTGTAAAGCTTCCAAGACGAAACTCCAGTGGTGCCAGCCCTCTGTGGTCTTCTTGGGACATTGCCTTTCCCATGGCACCCGTCACCTAACGAGGAACAGGGTACTTGCCATTACAAATCTCTCCCTTCCATCTAACCATCAGGCTCTTCATGCCTTCTTGGGACTCATCACATACTGCAGGTCTTGGATCCCTGAGGCTTCTCAACTCATGCAACCTCTCTACGATGCTTTAAAGACTGAACCTTTTTCGTTGACTTCTACAGCATCTGTTACCATGCCCTTCAAAGAGCCATCTCCTCCGTTGTCACTGCTTTGGGCCTACCTAACTACCAACTACCATTGAAACTTTTCGTCTCAGAGAAGATGGGCCATAATTCAGGGGTCCTTACTCAATCCCACGGTTCCCGTCAGCGCCCTATTGGGTACTTTTCCTGCATGCTAGACCCCGTGGCCATGGGTGGTCCTTGCTGCTTTGCTGCCAGTGCCCTGCTGGACAAAACTAATGACTTTGTTCTCGGACATAAACTGTCAGTTCTTGCTCCCCATGATATCGCTGCAATCCTGAATCAAGTCCAGCCAAGGTATCTCTCATCTCAGAGACATCTCCACCTTCAAACCTCCCTCCTCTTGCCTGATAACGTTACTTTACAAAGATGTTACGCCTTGAATCCGGCCACTCTTCTGCCACTTCCCAAGGGGGGAGTGCTGCAATACTGGTACAGCCTGGACATAAATCCTGACGTTCACATGGAACCCACAGTTCCACATGATGCACAGCCCGAGAGCTACTTACATTGCACCCTGTGGTTCAGGAACACCCCAGGTCCTGACCCATACTACGAAGAAGAATTATTCAACCTGGTGGAAATACACATCACACTGACAGACCTGTTCTTTGACTCCAAAGGAAACATTGTTATCTTAGTCTACCTGCCTATGGAGGTATCACATTTATATCACCATTGGGAGATGGCTGTTCCTCATATCTCTTTCACCAAGTCTCCAGATCTCTCATGCAAAGAATTCGGCCCAATGGCCAAGACATGAACTACTGTAACTCAAGAAGAGCTCACAGTTATGGGGGTCACTAAAAGGACCATAAATTGCACAGCAGTCGGTTACCCTCAATATCACACAGAGATATGTGAGGACATCCCTCCTACAGAACAGGACCCAGACGCCCCTCATGATTGCTTTGAACAGATGAAAATGGAAACAATCCATCTCCCAACAGTGCACGAGGCTGCTCTACCTGACCCTGACTACACTCTGTTTGTGGATGGTTCTAGATTCGCAGATGTGCAGGGACAATATCATACCGGATATGCAGTCACCACAGAGGACCAAATACTCCAAGCATCTTCATATTTATACAGACTCAAGGTATGCCCTAGGCGTGGCACATGACTTTGGCTTAATCTGGAAAAGCAGGGGGTTCCTTACAGCAACAAGTACTCTTGTGAAACATGGCGCAGCTATCAAAGAATTGATGGATGCCTTACTACTTCCTGAAGAGGTGGCCATACTGAAGGTAAAGGCCCACGGGAGACTGAATTCAGAAGAAGCACATGGCAACCATTTAGCCGACCAGCCCGCTAAGGATGCGGCACGCAAGTGAACAGAAGAGTGAACAGTGAACAGAAGAGTGTCTGAAGTATACACAATCAACCTCAAATTCTGTCTACCCAAGAATATGTATCCAGCTGTTGTTCAGTGGGCCCAAAGACCAGCTCATTTATCTAAGCACCTCATGAACTCTTTGATTGATAAATATTTTGAAGCTCCCGGAATCACCACCTTAACATGAAATTACTGCAGATCCTGCACCATCTATGCCAGATGTAATCCAGGAAAAATAATCAAAGCTGCACCAAACTATTTGGCCAAACCACAGTACCCTTTCCAGAGGATCCAAATTGATCATATCCAAATGCCAAAGAGTGGCCGGTATGAATACGCACTGGTCATAGTGTCTACTTACCAAAATCATCTGCAGATGCAGAGTTCCTGAAGTACTTGAAAGTGACCAGGGTACATCCTTCACCGCATTGCTAACTAAGGAGATCTGGGCAGCACTTGGGGGTGACCCTTGCATTCCACACACCCTATCACCCACAGAGTAGTGGTAAGGTAGAACGCATGAATGGCACTCTGAAAGCTAGAATGCTTAAAATGTCCCAGGAAACTAACCTACCCTGGCCGGAGAGTCTTCCCATAGCATTGTTTAGTGTAAGGTACACCCCAAGAGGGAGGTTTAGCTTATCCCCCTACAAAATATTATTTGGAACAGCACCCAGGTTAGGCTGTTACTTTCCTCAGCAACTTCAAATTCAGTCAGATGCAATGGTAGATTATATAACTGCACTCTCTCATGCCTTGACCAAAATCCATGCACATGTGTTTTCTTCTATTCCAGATCCAGAGTCAAATACAGGCACACATAAGTTACTTCCTGGTGACTGGGTCATGGTCAAGAAGTTCCTAAGAAAACACACACTTGAGCCAAGGTTCGATGGTCCATTCAAGTCCTATTGACTAGATCTACCTCTGTAAAGTTGGCCGGGAAGAATACCTGGATACACGCCTCGCACTGCAAGAAAGTTCCTGATCCAGAGGAAGCGGATTCCGACAAATCATGAGCTTCCTGTGCCTATTTCTGCTGCTAGGCCTATCAAAGACCCAACAAGTTGCTATTACCAAAGACAATCATGTTTACACATTTTGTATAATTCTTCAAACACACACGTAGCTACTTTCACCTTTGATTACTGTGATATTGTCTCTTGTACTTTTCCACAATCACAACACTCAGCAATATACAAAGACATACCAAACAAAAAGGACCCATATATTTATGTGACAGGTGACCATTGGGGACATCACTGTAGTACCTGGAAAGCAGCGGGTTGGAATACAGGCCGACCATGGGGCTTCAGACCACAAAGTGCCTTAGAAAGAATTGACAGATATGGGAAACCCTTGTTATACAGAATGACCTTATGCAAGCCAACAGGGTCTACCTCAATGAAGCTCACCTTAAACATAGAACATCCCAGCCCAAGAGACGCTGGGGAGTATGTAATTGGAATGTATTGGAAAGGGGGTGGCTCATATAACAATTTGGGGACCTTCTATTTACAAGACATGCTTACATCACCTGACTGGGTAGACTCCACACACACATGACCATTAACCCTTGAATGGCTTGAATGGATGAGGTATAATGCTAATTCACACAACAAAACTAACTGTTATGTTTGTGGTGGGGCCCGACCCCATCTGGTTACAGTGCCTTTAAATCTACCTCCAGATGTTGAGATGTGTTTCTTAAGCCTCTATGCGCAGTCAGCAGTGAATTCATCAGTGTGTGAATCATGGAAAAAGGTTTACCCAATAACCCAAGGGAATACCAGGCCACCTGATGGAATCACCGTGTACCCAGGTAACTACACTTGCTACACAATACATGGAGCCACAGGTAAATTTGTAGATAAATTCCCTTCTGGCTACTGTACCACTTGTTGAGAACCTCCCACTGCCCTATTAGTAAATCAAGTTAAGTCCATGGGAGACATTTACTGGCTATGTGGTGACATGCAGCTCAGATTAAAAATGACTGGCCTGTGGTGGGGAGAATGTGCTCTGACCAAAGTTATCATGGCCATACATATAATTTCTGATAACCACGAAGGCCCACACCACACATGTATCTTAGAGTAAAAAGAGAAACCCCCATTCAAGGTAGTTTCGACCCACACATATATATCGATGCCATTGGAGTACCAAGGGGGGTACCAAATGAGTTCAAGGCCAGAGATGAGGTGGTGGCGGGACTTGAATCCTTGATCCCACTCATCACCGCTAACAAGAATGTTAACTGGATCAATTATATCTACTATAACCAGCAACTATTTGTCAATTATACTAGAGATGCCCTTCAGGGCTTGGCAGAACAATTACAGACTACCTCCCAAATGACATTTCAGAATCGAATGGCCTTAGACATGATCCTAGCAGAAAAGGGGGGGCGTGTGTAAAATACTCCCCGATACTATGACATGCTGTACCTTCATCCCAGACAATACAGGTCCGAACGGTAAGGTAACCATGGCTATAGAGAAATTAGAAAGTCTTTCTGACGAATTAAAGAGGAATTCAGGACAGATGGTTTGGATGGATGAGTGGATGGCAGAAAACTCTCCTTCAAGTAGGTATGGTAGGTATGGCAGTTCTTACTGTGGTAATTATCTTTCTCTTCCTGGTTTGCTGTGTGATGCCCTGTGTGCAGAAATATTTACAGAAGACTGTAGGTCAGACTATTGACCGCACTACACCTACATTCCTACATCAGGATATCGACGATATGGACTGTGACACCCCATACACACCTCTTCAGTCCCACCACCTCAAACAGACAACTACTTCCATATAGGGATAGTGTAGGGACAGCGTCTGTCTCTACGGGCAGGAATTTGACGCGGGATACCTGCGCAGTGAAGCGTTCGAGGCCTGTTCAGACAGATGAGCTGCAGCCAATTAGGGACATCATTAGGGTTAGTTAGTTGTCTCTCTTTCGTAAATAGTCATTTTAAGGGGGGACTGTTGTGGACAAAAATATTAGCCCAATCCATGTTGATAAAATGCCTATTTACTCATTAACAAGATGGCGCTGGAATCTGAGGAAGACCTCCAAGATACCAGTGACATCAGACCCGGTAGGAAGAGCACTAAATGAACCACTTAACACCTAACCAATTATTGATGTATTATTCCATGTTATCTCTGACAATGCATATGATGTAATAATCAAAAAGTTAAAAATTGATACATAGTAAAAAATGATGAATGATAAAAAATAAAATCACCTGGAGAGAGAGAGAAGAGGAAAAAATTTTTTTTCCTTTTTTCCTCTTCTCTCTATCTCTCCAGGTGATTTGTAAATCAACAAATATCTTAATTAATTTTTTAATTTTTTATTTTTTTACATTTTTTAATTATAAATTAAATTTGTAATTATAAATTAAATTTTAAATATATTATATTTAAAGATGTATTTATAAGTTATTATTTGTACTGCTATAATTTTTTATATCTATATATATTTATAACTTATTATTTTTTATCATTCATCATTTTTTACTATGTATCAATTTTTAACTTTTTGATTATTGTTTTTTTGGATGATAAATTTGTGAGAAATATAAGATTTACAATGTATTTATATTAGATGGACTAGAATGATATATTTGTTATTTCATGAACTAATATAACCAATATGTCAGAATTTCTTTATAATTTAGTTTTTTGCCCTTTTGTTTATATATGCTCCCTTTTTTGCCCCTCCTTATATTGTCCTCTTTTATATTGCCTTTCTATAATTTCCTTTTTTTAGACATTATATATGGTTACAAATTCTCTATTATGGATTTTATGTGTGGCTATATTCCCTTAAAAACAAACAATGTATTATGTGTTAACTTTTTATGTTACGTTTATCGATATGAATTGCAACATTGTATATGAACGTAGTAAGGGTTAACTTAATACTAATGGAGACAGACAGAATAAGTATAAAAAGAAGATTGCAGACTCCATGATGCCATCCTCTGACAAAGTGATCGAGAATCACGAAACGCGTAAGGCGGCATCTGCAAACTAACACACATCGGTCCCGAGAGCGAGCACCTTTGACACGCATCTTGAGCCGCAGTGGAATGCAAGCGGCTAGAAACCAGCGGTACACAGCACGAGGAAAATCCCATTCACTTCTGTCCGGCCGGCGAGAAAGTGATCTCAATATCTTTTGGGCTCGAGGTCTGTTAAACCTGGTACTGGTGCTGTCTTATTTGCTACTCTTTTTTGGGACTTTTATTGATAGCTACATATATTTGTAGCATTTTTTGTCATTAACTAATAAACTTTGAAAAGTATCTGTCTGCTGCATCAGATTTTAACCCTTGGAGGGGTTCTATTCTATTTTATTTTATTTTACCTATATTACTCAGCCATATATATATCGGATTCATAATTTATTGAAACCTATATTAGATTATTTTCAGCAGCTCATAGACTCTGCCTTCCTTATTTAATAGGTGGTGATGACATGACCAGCTGACACATTTGTATTCGAATAAGAGGCAAATATTAACTTTCATTTATTGTGAAGTGCTCTATACATTCTCATTTCCACTGAATCCTGTGTATTTTTAATTGATTTATTTCAATTAGTGTGTTTCATTATGATTAAATCCATGCATGGATCTCATTGGGGGTATATCTGTTAAACAGTTATCTTTATTTATGTATTTCATTTGGGCAGTGCAGTGTCCCTTTAAAGGATGATTTATTTTTTATCAACACACATCGTGGTATTTTATGTTTATTGTAAATTCCAATCCCTGGGAAGAGGAAAGAAAAAGTAATGAAAACATATTCCACATTTAATGTTGAAGAACCACACAAGATCATAAATCAATGAAAAGTCACTCCAGTACATCATTACGGTAAGTATAACAGGCTATTTAAAGCTGATAAGTCATATCACTGACAATTGATTAGAATAAAAGAAAATAGAAGCAAATCCCATGTGGCTCAACAATATTCAAACAGTGAAAAATACAATAAATGTTGGTGAGAGCACACAATAAAGTAAAATATTACCACAATCTGTACATACAGTGGTGGAATCTATAAATAAAATAAAACAAACACATATGGTAATATAGTTAAAACTGACTCTACGTGAATAAAATGTATGGACCCACTCACATGGTTCTGAGCCACTCCAAAAGCTGGCTCAGACTAAAAGCACCAACATGGAAAAGACAGGTGGACACTTAGTAAGGACCTGGATACTGGGTTCACGGCTTATGTTTCTTGGGTGCAACACCAAATAAAATCCAGGATGCTGGATGTAGGTGAAAAAAGCACCAAACTCTGCACTTAACGTGTTTCGGCTTGCTCGCCTTTCTCAAAAGTGATTCAGTTGTAAAGGTCCTCTGTAGTCTTCCCTGCACACAAACCCTTCAAGCATCACAGTATAATAACGGTTATCAATGAGAGGACTACTGTGATTATTACAACACAATTTTAGTACTAATACTCTACAGAGTGTATTATTTTCGACAATTTAAGTAATATAGTATTAGGATTTGCAATTGGCATGCTTAGATTCTTCAGTGAAAATGTCATTTCTTATTGCTATTGCCTCTTCTTCAAGTTCTTTTAATTCATTTGCCTTGTCTAGATTTGCTTGATTTAGATCATCAATCTTCTCTTCCAAATCTGGAACATAAAAGCACAGAGCAATGTTTTTCAGTGAAATTGTGAAAATGTTACGACAATATATGTGTACACTGGGACATTGTTCAAAAGTAAAATGTTTAACCAGCAGATAATATGCATTAATCATTAGTTAAAGCAGGTTATAGTAAAGTCAATAAACAAAAGATTCTTCTTTAGTAAAAGAGCACAAAACGTTCCTAATACAAATGAATCTTTGTAGCTGGGTCAAACAACAAGTGCAGTGTAAAAATGATCCATACATTTTGTAAGGCATTTCTTTGCTTTTTGACTTATTATGTGAGCTCATTTTTTTTGTCCAGGGATCACAATAAGTGCTGATGGAAGCAGTGCCTGGAATTTCAGCAGTTTACACAAGGGATTTTCATTTCAGTAACATGTATTTTAAAACAAGCAGCTGCTTATCTAATTCACTCAAAGTGTTTAAGAACAAGACGTCATTGTTATTAATGATAGTTACGGGCAGACAAAAAGATCATACCAGCAAATAGTGTTTTTGGAGTTCTAGAGCTTCTAGAGTTGGTTGAAGAGATTGAATGTAAAATGCAGTGATTGTTTACTACAAGCTTTTTTCAGTTTAATTGGTAAGCTTTTAAAATATGTTCTCTGATTTGTACAGGGTCTAGACACAACATAATTAGTGGGGCTTTAGATATTTTGTTAACATTTAGAACTGTATAAATATAGGTTATGCATCAAAGACTTTCGCTCATCACTTGAAAATGACAAAGTAGTTTAGTCTGCAAGAGTGTATTTTTCTGTTCAACTCAGAATAAATGCAGGTTACACCACAAAAACAGGTTAAACCCAGCTTTTGCATTTTCTGTATACTATACTGAAAACTGTATACAATAGAGCATTGCGATTGTTTTCTTTAGATAGTTATTTGAATTATACTGTTGGGTTTATCTAACAACATTTCAGTGTTTTTCTTGCTTTTATTCTGGAATTACAAAAAATATGATTTCACTTTGCTTGCATCTTCTCTATCTTTACCT